AAAGCTTGAAACACTCTAAGCCTGTCAATCAATCAAAAAGACGACGAAATGGTTTTCTTCTTCTTTTCGAAATCTCTTTTTCGAAATCACTTTTCGAAAATTTCAAAGATTTAATCATTGAAATGATTAATTGGTTGAATAAAATTGAATCTCAACATTAATGATGTTAATGTTTTAATAACAATCTATTTGGTTATCATCAAGATTAACTTGTAAATCGTTTTCGATGAAAGGAAAACTACGAAATTGATAAAGTTTTTGACCTCAATTTTGATTGTTGATAACTTTTCTTGTTCAATATATTGATTCCAACTGTGACTACATAATTTATAATCATAATAATAATAATGATGAAAACAGATTATTGAAGCAATGTACGATTTGGTGAAACATTAATATTGACCAAACCTTAAGTTAATCAATCAAAAAATTGTTGTTCAAAGTGTAACTTCATTATTACATTATTCAAAGTGATGTTGAAGCAAAATGCAGGGAAAACTGTTTCATGGGAAAAAAGAGTTTAAAAGGTGAATGAAGGCAAAAATTGATTTCCAGTAACATTGTTATTAAAGATTCGAGATTTGGTGAATCTGGAAACAGCGCAGTTCTCACTTGTTCAACACTTGCAGTAACATTGAGTTTCCATTTTTTGGATAAAATTGCGATTCCTTCTGAACATTATTCGCTAACCGAAAATGATGAGATTTTTTTACTTCTTTTCGCCTTTTATTTACGAAAATTTTTCATCTTTGTTTTGACACTTTGCTTTCCTGTTTTCGTTATCAATCTTATTGGAAAATTGAGATTTTCTGTCTTTTTGTTCAGCTTCATGAAGGTTGCTTTATCGAGTAGATTCTTCATTTTCTCACTTCTATTTAAATGTTAATAGACTTTGCCAGTTCATTTATCATTGAGAATATAAATTGAGTTAATTTTTTCTATTTTTTATTTTTCCCTTTTCTTTGCTTTTTCTTGCCATGATTGAGATGAAATTTCCGATTCATGGAAGAAAAGGTTGAGACGGAAAAATTGATGTAACAAGCTGAAGATAAACATGGAAAGAGAAGAAAAAAGTGAAAAATGATTTTGTCAAAGTTTTTCCAATGAATTGGGAAAAGTGTGAAATGGTGAAAACGGAACAAGTTCAGTGAACAAATAAAGTGAGAAATGATGAAACTTTGTTATCATTGTGATTCAATTGTTAACATTTGGAAGTTGCAAGTTGGCGTGAAAAGCCTTTTTTACCTGAAACTCGAGTCTCGAAGGAAACAAGTCGATTCAGTTTGTCCACTTGAAGGACAGGAAAATCCATTGGAATAAAACGCTGAAGCAATCTGACAAGCTTCGTTTTCTTTCCATGATAAAGATCTTCAGAAAGATTATCATTGTTTGCTTTTTCCTTTTCTCTTTTATCTGCATTTTCTTGCTCAATTTTCTGTTCGACTTTCAGAGTTCAAGATTAGTATACAAATGATAGACTCATGAGAAATTATTTCTTATTTGTTTCGCTGGTTTTCAAAGGGATTTTCTTATTCTTTTGTTTCTGTTGCTTTTTTATTGAACTTTAAGAATTGTGATCAACAATGGAATTTGAATTTTTATTCTTTATTCTTTTGCTTCTTCTGGTTAACCAAATGAATTGAGGTTTGGCTGAGTTTTTGGGTAAAGAACGAAAAACGCAATTTCATTTATTCCAGTGAACATGAATAAAGCTTTGCTTTTATTCAGGCAAATGAAGAGCAAAGAAAATGTTTAACATTGAAATTTGTTTCAAGAAAATGCCATTTTTCCATTTTTTATATTTACTTTCATAATTTGCTTTATTTGCTGTAATAATGTTTACGATTCATTAATAAAAGTTGAACTTTTATTTACTTTAACAATTTTGGTTTTGGCGCTCTTCTGGTTGAAGGATTAAAAGTACCTTTAAAACGCATTGAGAGATGGCGTTTGTAACGATTGCTTATGATGTTTGTTTTGCATTCAGATTATGATTTGATCGTTAAGTGTTTAGTTTGATTTATTTTTACTTTTTGCTCTTAGTCTTCCTTTAATCTGTGCCATTTAATTTTGTTACTTAATTGTGATTCTCTGCTATCAATTAATAATAGCAGATTACTTGTAATTAGATGAGTTTTTAATCATTGTTTGAGTTTCAGTCTAAACTTATTCTCATGGATTTATTTTTGGCTTTTTTCCTTTTTCTCTAGTCGTTCTCTACACCTGTTTGTCTTTCTTTTTTTTTACCTTTTCTTTCTCCTTTAAATGATTTTTTCTTCTTTAACCTTTACAATTAGTTGGATTAACTTTGGACTCGGATTTTATTGTTGCTTTCATGGAGCAATCTATTCAATATTAATACTCTCAGTCATGACACAATAGACGTTTCATCTTGATTCTCTTCTGGTTCAATCCCTTTTGTTATTTTGTTTTCTGGTTCAATCTTTTACTGCTTTATCAGGATTAGTTTTGTATTGATCAAGTCTTTTTGTCTCACAATCATCATTCCCAAATTGGCTTAGGATCATTGGAAACTAGCTTAATAAGTTGATTACATGATTTAAATTGTAAAATTTTTATTAACCTTTAAAATGCGCCTTGTTCTGGTTTTACAGTTTCCATACGCTTACCGCTGAAGTAATTAGTTGGAGGAAAATCTTGAAGTTAAATTTTTCACTAATGTTCAAATTATGTGGAAGGTTTTAGATTAATTAGTGAATGGTTTTGATTGTGAAAAAGTATCATTGAAAGATTGAAAGATTTAAAAATTGCTGAGAAAAGATTTGGATTCGAATCCAGATCAAGAGCTGAAGCTTTTCAATTAGTCACATGTAAAAACAGCTGATAACTGGTAATCTTGTTTTATTTTTTCCTTTCCTTTGAGTTAGTAATTGATTGTTAATGATAATGGAAAGATGATAAATCCTTTCAATAATGTTTCTTTAATTGTTAAATTGTTTCCAACGTTTGATCAAATTTACTCCAAGTAACCATAATTTTACCATTAAAAGTGAATAGTAAAGATTAAATAGAAACAGTCATGTTAACCAAATTGAAACTAATTTGAGGAAAACAAGTGTAACACTCACTTGGAATTGAAAAAGAGATGTTCTTGTTTTTGAGCTCTTCTGTTACCTGTTGCTTCAATTTTAAATTAACTATGAAACGTCTTTCAAAATGTCTGTAAATGTTGACAATAATCCGTATCCATTGTGAATTTGTTTGTTGTATACATCCAGTAATTGGATGGTTTCAGTGCAATGTAAGTAAAGTACAAGATTAATCACTGTAATACCTCTATACTTACGGTGATAAAAGACGGCCGTTGCTTAATTTCATTATATGTGACAGGCAAAGATTGGATAACTTGAACACTTTTCACTGTAAACATTGGTTTACAGGGGAAGACAGCTTGTATCTCTGAATCAACAAATGAACAATTCTCATGTTATTAAAAGGGAAAAAGAAATAAGTGTAAAAGTCAAAGAAACGGATAGTTTCCAAAAGAAAGAAAGGAAAGAAAGAAAAACCAAGGCAACATGTAAAGTAACTAATTTTTTGAACGATCCCTCAACGCTTCTCTAAAACCGTTTAACCGTTTTACATTACCTTGGCAAGTTTTGCTTTTGTATTTTCCTTTAATTAATCCTGTTTAATTAACCTGTGTACAAATGTTTTAAACGACTTTACGTTACTAATACGTTGTTAGAAATGGTGATTACTCAAACAGCCAACAATTCATTTGAATCAACGGTTATGGTTGACGGTGAAAATAGTGGGAATAAGCTATTCTCACGTCGTCTGACCAGATTTCCATGTGCGTATCAATAGACTCGGAAAAGTAGAGGGAAAGTTGAAAATGTTAAGTTGCTAATATGAAAGTGTGTTTAGAGAGACAAGTGATTAGAGTAAGTGTATTTAGTTAAAGTCAAGAGGGTTTGATTTTTTTGTTAACATGAAATTGGTTAAGTATGGTTTCAACAAAGCATTTCAATGGCATCTTTCAACTTGGTGAACCTGTTAGTCCAGAGTGATTTACATTTTGTCTTTTTTTGGAAAAGACTTTGTTTTTTTCTGGTTTCTCTTACCCAAATTGATGATGGATCCTTTGGCTTGCCTTTTGCCATTATCATTGTTCGTTTCTTAGTGCCATTTATCTGTCTGATCGTCAGTAAATTACAATGATTGTCAACACCATCATCAAAATCAACTTAATCATCTCATGAGCCCTACAAATCATTCAACAACAATCCACCTTCATCGCCAACATACTCATTATTATTACTCTTACCATCGTCACTAGCTCTTTTTTTTAACATAATCATCATTATCATCATCATCATCATTATCAGTTACATTATGAATTATTTGCTTTATTAACTTAAACAATATACTAGAAGCCGTATTAGTTGTTAGTATTGTTTGACCAAAAAAATCTTGCCATTTATGTTGTGATTATTGTTACAGTCCATTTCTTGTTTATAATTTGTTTCGGTTATGTTATTATTTCACCATCAACTCTATCCTTTTCACCAACACCAATACGATAACTAAACCTGATCGGCATCATTACCTGCTTGTGTAATTCAATCTAACGTCCACTAAATCAAATGAATGGGATTTTTGAAATTTTGTCTAAAATATCCGTCCAAATTTATTCACCATCTTTTATCTGATTCCATGTAAAGAAAAATCTCAACCCAAATTTAATGATCTTTCCTTGCTTTAATCATCTTGTTTCTGCTATATTAGTCCATTTCAAATGCTTCAACTTAGTCAACTTGCCTTTTATTTATTTCTGCTTCCAATAACTCGTAGGCAAACTTGTTTTTTCCTTATCCATAAATTAGTTCGTCCATCAACATTTGTTGTTGTACCAATGAATGTTGGCTCGAGTTTTTGTCTTTGGTTTTATCAAAAACAAGAAAACTTTCTCCGCTTCCACCAAACCTTTCAATAGACATTCACTAATTCATTTTTTTCTCTCCTTCTTATTACAGGAAAGCAATACAGGGTGAGATTAAGATATCAACTGAAAACGGTGAAACCCGAACTCTAAGAAGTGCTCCGGACTGGGGGGTATGTTATTGATTACCCGACTCTAACCATTGAACAGCCGTCTACATGCATTTATCCTATCAATCAAGTCAATCATCTCAGCCTAATCAACTCGATCGACTCAAGCAAGAACACACAACCCTTGACATTTCATTGCAGGATTATTTGCTAATCACCCTCATCACCAGTTACATTTCAAGCAATGGTTAAGGAATAATGGCAGAAATTCATCCATGGATAAATTTGTTTGTACATTCATTGTTAAGAGCTTAAATTACTCGATTAGTGACTTTTATTTTGTTTCCTCTACAAAAATTAGTAATGCAGTTATCAAAATGAGTACGCTCAATTTAACCTATTGGCATCAATCAATCGATTGAAACCATTATGCCTTTCCCAGCCTTGTTAATTCATTATTCAACAATTAGCGGATGAGAAAACACATTTAGATATTGTTTTATAGCAACTTGAAAACCTATTTTTGCACTTCTGTTATTGCCTTTGTTTCCACCAACCATGGATGATGTTAGCGATTCCGTTTGATATACACATGTTAGTTTCCCGGTTCACAAGGTTTACAGTTGATAGTGAAAAAAATGACACAAAATCATGTTAACACGGAAGTCGCTAAAAAATTGTGATCATAGTTTATGTTGATTTCAATTTCCATTTCTAGATTGAAAGATAGATTCTACTGTTTTCTCCCTGAATCAGAATCTCAATTTCACTTTTGCATAGTAAATTACTTTTCATTGATTTCCTTTCACAACAATTTGATAAACTCTTCTCCATTAATATCTTTCCACAGTTGATTCTTAAATGTTAAAATTAGCAATATAATTGAATAGTCATAATTTGTCATGTTCATCATCTTTGCTTTTCAAACATGATTGACTGTCTTTACACATAATAGATTCTGATTTCCTCAGTTGCTTGTCATAACAGTTTTACGTTGATCATCATTCAATTTGCATCATTATTTCACCCAAGTATCTCCATTGTATTGCAATGAGGTAAACATGAAATTGAATCAATCTTGCTCATTTATTTCATCATGTATTTAAACATTGTTTTTAATTTTTTAGGTTTTTTTCAAGATTTCTGTTAGACTCGATGGTTGAGGAAAGATTGGGTTAGCAAAATGGACTTGAAATAGTTTTTAGCCATTCAATTAAAAGGAAATTTATTTAATTAAAGAAGAGCTTGTCGCTACTTTAATTGTAATCAATTGGGTTGATGTTGGATTCACTGAAATAGTTGGGATAAAAGGAGGAAAACAAACGAGTTTATATGATCAGCAGAGTTGATAATTTTTCAGCCTTCCTGTGTTAATATTATTATACCATTGACATCCTCAAGGGAAAGACATTTTGTCTAACTGTTTACGACTGATGATTGTCATTGTTACTCTCAATTGATAACATAAATTGACCAATTTAGCGTTGACCAAGATGGATGGATCAGGATCTATTGATTGGCAAAATTGAGGTTGACACTTGATTGATTAGCTGAGATAACATACAAAACCAGAAGATGGTTAATCCAATGGCTGATTAATTCGATAAACTTGCCTCTAATTTTTGTTCCTCTACGATCTTTAACTTTATTTCTAGGAAACCGCTATCAATGGGGACCATTTATGGGTTTCAACCAGTACTTCTGGTGATCTGTGTTATGTTGGTGAAAATGAATGCTCAGTAAGTTCAACTCTTTTTCCTTTTCCAGCTTTAATTATCACCAATTAGACTGCAAATGAAGCCTTTCATCAATTGTCAATTTTATCCTTAAATTTGTTTTCTTACAATTTCACTTTTATTGTTTCTTATTAATTCTTTATTCTGATTGAATCATCATATTTGTTTAAAAAAACTAGTTACTCATGCTTTTCAAGGCTTCAAAATCTGATAACATCAAACATCGTGCTTATTTCACTTCATAATTGATCCAACACATGATAACATTGATTAATGTATTTTTCATTCCCATTACATAACATAACAATTTTTTAACATCACTTTAATATAGCCAGAAATGACTCGAAAAGCAAATTAGAAAATGATAAAATCTCGCTTTTTCATTATTATTTCAGAATCTATTTTTAAAACACTTTAACTATCAAGTCCTAGACTTGTAAATTACCATGAAAGATGGTCAAAATTGAATAACTTTTCTTATTCATTAGCTTCAACAATTGTCTAAACTATGGACTAATGTTATCTCTTATCTTCTTTCACAGAAACAAGGTCCAAGACTTTGTTGTCCAGCCTGTAAAATTACAGCCCACACTGGTTGCATCGGGATCTTGATTGATAAAATCAAGTTTCACTGTAAACCGACTTTCAAGGATGTTGGAGTTCGTCAATACAGAGAAGTAAGTAATTTCAGTTGATAAAAAGTTCACACATCAGAATGGAAATGCAAAATTTCTTGATTTTCAATATTCACATAAAATTATTGAAATTGATCGCTAATTTACTCTTGAGAATAATGAATAAGTCAAGATGAAAAATCGTTAAAAATGAAATTCTTAATTTTGAACAAGTCTGGTCATCTTGAAGAGAAAAGTTTGCATCAATCAGCAAAGTTGATTTCATTGCAATTACCTTTGAATCCAGGCTTTTCATGAAAACCCCTTTCAACCCAAACTTCATGTCCATTAAAGTGTGCAATTTTGTCTCTCCATTACTCATGATATTGTTTTAATAACTTTAATCGCAATACCAATAATGGTAATGATAAGTTGATCAACATTGATCTATATCGTTGAAATGATTGTTGATCTTTACTTACATGAAACGAATCATTTTCCCTGTTTGTTCATTCCTCTCACTCTTATCCTCTTCTGTTAACATTAAAAATCATTAACAGAATCAGAATGAAAACAGTTTACTCTCCATCCATTATTGATTGTTTAATCTTTCAACCTTGTTTCTTTATCTTTGTCAACAATCATTTTCTGTAATTGATTGGTTTCATCGGATTAAACAAAATAATCTTTCATCTGACTCCCTCTTTACCTCTTCCTCCTCCTTCATCATCATCATCTTCCTCTTCCTCTGCCAATAAAACCAGAAACATCTTATTTAAGGTCATTGATTGATATGGTGAAAAAAAGGTCTCTTTGATCCAATATTTATTTGCAAAGATCAATTTACAGTCAAGGTTAGCTAAACATACTGCAATCAATATTATTAACTTTCAATCGTACATTTGATTAATACAAAACTCTGATTGAAATACCTTTTACCATGACAGATGCTCACGCGATTCAAGTCACTTTTGATCCTATTGATTTACTGGTTGATCGACGATTAGTTTTATGCTAAACAGATTAAGTGTCAAACCTTAAACTTTCCCTATCCAATTGTAATCCATGTTTAAATCTGTTCATCTGTTACACACTAATTAAATGGTAATCTAATTATTTTACCATTGATTGATGGTGATTACAATGGTGAGTGGTTAAAGACAGGGAACCAGAAACGAATTGAAATTAACAGTTAACCTTTAACTCTCTTCTATGACAATCATTCCTAACAATTTTCAGCTCACTAGTTAATTTAATTTATCCTCAAATTTTACTCGATTAACACAATTGATTAAAAGAATTGAGTTAACAATTTGTTATTCCTGTGAAAGACTAGAATCGACGGTAAAATAATTCAACTCTTAATAACCTGAATTCATTAGTTTTAAAAGCTTTTCAATGTTGAAACACTTTCCATTGAATTTTATCATTTTTTTCTCTCTCCTTCCCAGTAATATTTGAACAAGCTTTGTTGACTTATCTGGACTATTCTGAATTGAGTTAAAATTTTTGGGTCAATTGAAAGCTAATTCATGAGCTATTTGAACTAAAAAAATAGTTAATTTAATTAAAATTATTTATGAAAAATGGATCAACATTTCATGCAAAATATTCAAAGTTCATTCCAAAGATTCTTTATTCTTTTCAACATTCTTTTTCTATTTATACACTTTTATCAAATCACATAACCTTTCAAGTGTTTTGTAACCTTTCTGAATATTTTAAACATAACACCTGAAGTCTTTCAATTTAACTAGATTTGAGGCTTAAACATTTTATCCATCATGTGTATACATTGAATGAAAATTGTCCTTTCTGGTAATATGAACTTTTGCAATCTGATCGACATCCTATGAATTAGTTGATAACATTTTTACTTTCTATGTTTTCTTGTTCAGCAAACTGTTATACATCATCATTGGGTTCACAGGAGATCGCAAAAGGGTAGATGTCGTCAATGTGGCAAATCGTTTCAATCAAAATTGTCTTTTGCCAATAAGGTTGGTTGATTGAATCATTTTCACCTTTTATTGTCTATTAATAATCTCCTTTCTCTACATCAATGATCATTTTTCTTGTAACCATTTGTTAATTGATATTATGAGCTAATTTTTTTCCTCTTTTCCTCCCTCTTCAATTGTTTAGGAAATTGTTGCAATCAGCTGTTCTTGGTGCAAAACTGCCTATCATAATAAAGAAAACTGTTTTACCTTGGAAAGACTCACAGAAACATGTAGTTTAGGAATTCATAAAGATCTTATTATACCACATTCTTGGATTGTTAAATTGCCCAGAAAGGTAAAGGACTTTCTGTGAAAACAGACAGCGTTGGAAAGATTATTGAATGGCTAATGTTTATCTTTTGACTGACAGTTCTATTAGTTGAGACAATTTATTGGATTGATTAAAAATTAAGATGAATGGAGTAATTGTCCATGGGCGAAAGAATGTCAATGACTCTAGCTATTCAAGAATCATTAATCAGTGGTTGTGTTTAATTTAATATTGGGTTTGCTTTTCAATTAATTTTGTTGTATTTGTTTCTTATTTAGGGTTCTTTTAAATCATCTATTCGTCGATCTCCAAAAAATAAGCGATCTTCATCCAAAAGAAGAACCAAAAAAGAAGATGCTTCGCCAATTGTTGCTGTTTCAAGTGAAAACAGTCACCATCTTCCAGTTCACCCTTTATCTTCATCATCTTCCTCTTGTTCACCACAACCACCTCCGATCCATCCAACAGTTGGTTTAACCTCAACCTCAACCATGCCACCTCAATCGAGCTCTGCACCGCAACCCTTGACTCCTCTGTCGGCAAATCAATTACCATCTTGTTCTTTCTCTTCATCCGCAGTTCTTTCACAATCTCAGCCTAACAATTCCAATCCAATGGATATATCATCATCATCATCATTAGCAACATCATCAACAATAACAGCCACATCATCAACCGCAATCTCATCATTGGGTGCAGGTCCACAGCCTAATGTTCCTACACCTCCACCTCCTGGTGCAGTTCCCACTGAACCTCGGCCTTCTCTCTGTGCCCCCGGACAACACCGTTCCTTTGCAATTAAACCCATCCCATCGCCTGATTCAAAACCTTTACTGGTCTTTATCAATCCTAAAAGTGGAGGTAACCAAGGGTCCAAATTGATGCAAAAATTTCAATGGTTACTCAATCCACGTCAAGTTTTTGATTTGAGTCAAGGAGGTCCAAGGCCTGGACTCGAGTTGTACCGTAAAGTTCCAAACTTAAGGATACTTGCCTGTGGTGGCGATGGAACTGCTGGTTGGATTTTATCTGTTCTCGATGAAATTGGCTTTAAACCTTCGCCACCCATTGCTGTTCTTCCCCTTGGAACTGGTAACGATTTAGCTCGTGCTTTAGGTTGGGGTGGAGGTTATACCGATGAACCCGTGTCCAAAATTTTGTTAAACATTAAAGACGGTGAAGTTGTTCAACTGGATCGCTGGGATGTTAAAGTGACTCGCAATACAGATTTAAATTTAATTGAACAAGCAGCCGATACACCTGAAGGTGCCAAAGAGTCTTTACCACTCAATGTCATCAACAATTACTTCTCCATTGGTGTTGATGCTCATATTGCCCTTGAATTTCATGAAGCACGTGAAGCTCACCCCGAACGCTTCAATTCACGACTTCGAAATAAAATGTTTTACGGTCAAGCTGGAGGTAAAGATCTGCTTCAGCGAAAGTGGAAAGATTTGGTCACTTACATTACAGTTGAATGTGATGGAGTAGACTTGACTCAACGGTTGAGAGATTTAAAAGTTCACTCGTTGCTCTTTCTTAATATCCCCTGTTATGGTGGAGGTACTCGGCCATGGGGCAGTGCATCGCCTTCTTTTGAATTACCACGAACTGATGATGGTCTAATTGAAGTTATCGGCCTTACAACTTATCAACTGGTAAGTTATTCAAGCATAAAAGGTTTACGTTTAAACAAAATTGAACCAATTAAGAGACAAGATTAATCCAATTGTTACCAGGATGCTTAATAAAGATGACAGATAAATTCATCTTTTAATAGCATTCAAGATTAATGGATTCCACAGCAGGGTTAATTATGAGCATTACAGTTACTAATTACCCTTTTCTTAAACACTTTATCCCTCGACTGATTATTGTATACAATTATCTCTTTATTTATAATAAGCTATTATTTATAACTTTAGATATCCTAAATGTTCAAAGCTTGATATATTGGCTGTAAATTTTGGTCAATGTTATTGAATGTTAAATGTTTAGTCAATGAATAGCTTTATCACAAACATATTGTCAAAGATCAAAACAACCGTAATAATAAGGCTCTTCAATTCAAGGAATGAGTTACTATCATTAGGATAAATTTTCTCAGCTGACCAAGCACATGATCTGATTAGGATAATCTTAAATCCTTGAAGCTAATTCCAACATAAGAGTGTGAAGTGTATATCAGCATTTATTTTCATTTGTATACTTCAACACCTTATCGGTACATCTTAAAGTATATTTTCAAATATCGGTAAATATACTGAAATATTCTGGAAATGTTTTCTCAGTTCTTTTGACTTTTCTTTGGTAACTGTCTGTCGAATAGACTGTTTAACTGATGAGATTAACACTTTACTATTGTACAATTAATTACTTTGGTAATCTCTTGATAGTCATTGTTGTTTAATCACATTAACTCTAGTTTGACTTTAGTTGACTCGATTGTTTGAAGAAAATATAACCAACATTTACATTCTCGTCATTTCATGTTGGTCAAGTTTATCTGTTAATGATTATTGTCAAGCAATTTGGTTGCTAATTTTTTCTTCTTTCCCTAATTTATTCTTCTACTAATTCATCTTTAATCTACTTTATTCTAGCCTCTTCTTCAAGCAGGTGGTCATGGTTCATGTGTAGCTCAATGTAAAGAAGCTAAAATAATTACTCGACGAACGATTCCTATGCAAGTTGATGGTGAACCTTGTCGTCTATTACCTTCAATTATCAGGATAAAAGTGAAAAATCAAGCAAATATGGTTGCTAAATCTAAAACTCATTGCCAGATAGCTTCCATGTAAGCTATTGGAAAATTGTCATTTCTTTTTACTCTTTATTGATTACTATTGATTATTTTGTTTATTTTATTTTACTTTTTTCCGCCAACAGGCCAACATTAGATCGGGAAATTGTAATTCCGGTAAGAAAATTGAATATCTTGGATTATGAAACATTCCATTATGATAAAAGTAGACTTCATGATGCTTGTAAGTATTTACTGCATCAATTGTACATTCAATTATCATTGTTAACTAACTATTGAATTTTCTCATTTTCCTCCAACAGCTATAGTTTTAGGTAAACTACAAATCAATCCGGACCTCGAGTTAAACCATGTTCGTGCTTTAATCAGACAAATGGTTGCAAACCATCGGAAAGGTTCAACTTCAATTCATATGCTCAATAAAGAACCAGGAGACGAGATGGCCAGATATCGATTGGAAAAGGCCTTCGATATTTCAAATGACTGGTGTTTCGTTGATTGTACGTAACCGTCACATCTATTTATCTAAACACAGTTAACAACAAGTCCCATTAATAGGAAATAAGCATCAAGTGTGGGATGCATTTAAAAACATTTCAGTTTAACTTGAAGGCAAATAAGATTCAAATCAACCAGAAATTCCTTTGGTTTTTTCCTTATCTAACATCTAATTGCTTATTCAGGGACATCACTTTTAAATTACCTCAAAAATGACTGAACAAACAGGGGAAATTATGAAGTAAATTTAAAACTATTTCATAAATTGAATTTTCCACTTTCATGCTCAAACGCGATTCAATGTTGAAAACAAATATCTCATGTCAAATGTCAAAGCTTAAAATAACTTTTTGTTCAGCAAAACATTTCAAATTGCTCTCTAAATCTTTCATTACTCAGCCAACAGGCTAATCTAATTGGATACATAAAATGTGAATATCTCTGCAAAGACAGCCATATGAAAAAACGTTGATTAGGAAAATGACTGAAAAAATTAATGAACACATACTTTATTGCTCTTTAATTACAACTGAAATGATTGTGTTTAAATGAGCAACTCTCTTTTACTTAGCAAAATATTGATTACTTACTGTGTTTAGTGTAAACAATGATTCTGTAATTAATAATCACATTAATTTGGTACAACCTTTTCTTTCCTTTTCCTTTTGCCTCATGAATCATGCAGCTTGTACTGCTGAAAGATATTTTCGTATAGATCGTGCCCAGGAGCATTTACACTATGTTGTTGATATATGCAATGATGAACTATACATTCTGGATCCAACCGATAACGGATACGATCGTGATAAACTTGCAAAAGCCTCAAATGTGCCTACAACCCAATTAGCAGACAATAGTCCCGCCAGTGGGCTGAGTGGTGATGAGACGCCTTCACCAGTTGATCCTGCTCTCTATGGAGACAACAATAATACAATTGTACTTTTCAAGCCTCCCACGACCAAGGAACCAGGATCGGGTAAAGATGATTCGGGTGATACTTTAAACGTAAATACTGCCAGTCAACTGTTAGAGGGGTCATCAATTCCAGGGACACCGACAACTGCAACAGAAACATTAACAGAAACAGCAACAGAGTCCAACAATCCTAGTGCCTCTAAAGAAACCGTAATGAGTGATAAAGGTAAAAACCTAAGTAATTACAATGTTAGACCCAATAATGAGATCAATGTTGATGAAATGATTTATCAAAGGTTAGTTTATTCAACTGATGAAAGACGTGATATTGAACCAAATTTAGTGGACTTTAAAGCCGAGGAGACTTCAAATGCACTATTTAGATTTAATAGAGATGAAAGGAATCAAAGTGATTCATATTTTCACAAAACGGGTGATAATAGTAATGATAACAAGAGTGATGCCAATAACACTGTAAATGAAGCCATTTCTAGTTTCAAGTTGAATAAGACTGCCTGTGATTGTGTCAGCTTAACCAGGTCAGAAGCTGTTAGAGTAAATGTAACTGGACCAGATAACATTTCCATTGATTATAATTCAAATGAAATTATTGAAGCTGTTAAACGAGCCGATTTAACTTCACTTAAACGTTTGCGTGAACAGGGTTACAATCTTTCTGCTGTTGACTCCAATGGATTAACAACTTTACATTATGCTGCCATGTTGGGCTATCATGATATTATACAATATCTGGTCGACTTGCAACCCGACCTTATTAATTATAAAACTTATAATGATGGTCAAACTCCATTACATTATGCCATCCTCTATGGTCAACGTATTTCTTGCTTTATTCTGGCCGCAGCGGGTTCCTCAGTTACAGATGCAGACGCTTATAGTCACAATGCTAAAGACTTGGCAATTATGAAGGGTGATCACGAACTTGCTGCTTATTTAGATCGTGAGTTGAACTCTTAATTGTTTTCCATCATTTTATTGTCACAGGTTTTCAGCTTTCCTAGTAACTTGATCAACGTTAATCACATTAATATTAATTTTTTTTATTTTTTTTCTTTTCTCCTTTCCTGCACTCCAGCAATGCATGAAAATTTCACCGCTCAAATAATAGGATTAAGATGATGGCTTTGATTAACCCAATAAATGATATGCATTAATATGTTGAAATAATCCTGGCCATTAACGATGCAAGACTAAACTTCAAATATCCTTTGTTGAATGCTAAATCATTAGTTATATGCTTTTCAACTTAGCTAAATGGATTAGTGTTTTTAATGCAATTTTTAATAATCTTTGGTAATTTATCAAACATTAGCTTATTTAAGGCTATTTTTTAATGTAATTAATGCTGCTTCTCCACTTGTCCGACCTTTTACTCTGAATACACCAAAATTTTCGATCTTCATGCAGAATAGCTGAATGGCTCATGTTGTCTTATTCTTGGACTCTCTTCACAAATGCTATTGTCATCAATTATCATTACTATTGTCACCAAACCTTTTATTATCACCATTTATCAACATGAAAAGTCTCAAAACGAATGAAAAAATTGTAACCGCTTTAAGACTAGCAACTAAGTTATTACCTAATATAATCCAATCATCTTGAAACTACTATAATCTTAATTAATTCAATATTTTGCTCTTCTTTTACAGAATTTGCATGTTACCAGGCGACTTTCAATGAACGGGAAACCACTGTTTGATTGAAGCAGATTTAACTTGATAGGAAAAGGGTCAACAGTTGAATCATGATAGATTATTTAATTACCGTTGATTGTTGGCCATCTGTTTAAATACCCGAAAAATGATGGTTTCGATTGATTTGGAAGAGCTGTTAAGGAGAAGATTATCGTTAATCTAGTTTTGTGTGCCTCTCTGGTAAAGCCACATTCCTCATTAATTTATTTACAACCAATACCAGTGCTGATTGACTTCATCATTACCATCCTTATGACCATTGCATTTAGACATTTTAATTGCTGTTAACTCAATCAGCCCATTGTTGAACATCAAAACAGTTAACGGGAATGACTAGGAATCAGCTTTCATTATTGATTCTACCTTGCCGATGATTAAATAATAGGCGGATCTGGTTTCATTTTAATACTAACAAGAAATATTTAAAAATTTGTTATCAAACATGCAGTTGTTATTGGAATGGATTTGCTAAATCAGATGCAAGAAAAGCTGGCGAAACCATTAGTTGACCATGAAATTAACCATTGGAATTAACCTTTTGGTGATGTTTCAGCCATTTTGTTTACTCAAACCGACAAAGCAAATACAAACAGAAGCAAGTTAATCATTTTTGGAATCGTTTTATCTGTTGAAACACAAACAAACAATTGATTATTTTTGGTACAATCAAGTATAATATCCGAAATCTTGGTTTTTGTTAATCTATATTTCCGTTGCTGATGAGAACGCAAATTAATAAATTTTGTATCCTCAATCAATGAAAATACGATAAAGCAAATTACATGACATCATTAGCCGTTACCTGTTAACATTTGATTAATCAACTTTTCTCTACATCTTCAACATTACATTAACCATTTCCATCTTCATCCTCTTATACTTGTTTCTGTTCTGGCATCATCTCTACCATCTATTTTCCTTCTTGTTGCCTGGAATCAGATGATTAAATTGACAAACAATTCACCAATGCATATATTTACCTGGAGTCATTTCAACATATTGGAAAGAAGAACCTCTGTCTCTCCTGTTTCTTTATTTTGTTCATCATGTTTACCATTTACATGAAGATGCACTTTAACCAGATCTAAATCACCAAACACGAAATCTCTCCACCTCAAGTAATTTAATTGAAAATATAAATATACATCAAGTCAAGTCCAAACTGATTTACCATCAACAAGGTAACCAAAGCATAAATGAGCAAAAACAACACTTACCTAGTCATTGGAAGGAGGAAACTTCAACGGATTAAACCAGTATTTTAATAATAAAAGCAAAGAAAATACAAATTGAATTGGAACTTTTTTTCCCTTTTCAATTGGATTCCTCTTTTTTATCATCCCTATTGGCTCCTTGATGGTCAACCTTCCAACAATTTAATTGTCAAATTTATAATCTTTTAACGCATTTAATGATCATAATTCATAATAACTGATCTTGACGTTACTATTATATCATCAAAACCATCATCATTATTATTATTAATATTATTATATTATTATAATTATCATCTCTGTTATCACCTTCTTATTAATATTATTATTATTGGATAAACACTTGATTACCATGTTAAAACACCGAGCTTTTGTAATTCAAACCGATCATCATCAAAACAAAAAGCAAGTCAACTAAAAGAAACAGATTTTCCTAAATTGGTTCAATCAAGTTGAGCACCGATGGTCCTTTAAAAATCAAACGAGTTCACAAAATCAAAGACGAAATACGAGATTCTCACAAGTGAAAAATTGTAGATAAACCTGCAGTCCAAGAACCTAAAGGATCTTCCTGATTTTGTGGTCTTCAACGATATCGTACTTAAATTGTGATTTATAAACTAGACAACCAGATGACTAGATAAAACTTGAACCAGTCTCAGTAACTGCAAAGCAATGAAACTGAACGAGACTGGCAAGATTATCAAATATATCATTGGATGCAAAACAAAGAAACTGGAGACATTTTGAAAAAGACTTCAAAAGATCTTTAGAGAAACAAATTTCTTGCAAACAATTGAAATTGTTAAATTGTGATTCCATCATCCTTTAAATTTGCAATGTTTTATCAACTTTAACTTCATTATATCAGTGAAAACAAGTTCAGTTTAAAACAATTTAGTTTTCATATTTGGACCCAAATACGAGATCGTTAACCACTTTACCACTCCTCTTGGACTCTTTTTACGTAGCTAGATCCAAACCCTTTTTCAATGGACGATTGATTTAAATGATGCAAATTAATTCAAATCATTGGCTGGTATAAAGCCAGGATCGAGTTGGAGCAAATTGAAAATAGACGAGAAAAGGGAAAAGGCCAAAATTGTGTCAAAATTGAATACAATTTACTTTGAGTACTAAGTAATTGTACTCATAAACTGTAGTTTCATCGAAACATGTAATTATTATTGTTCACTACGGACACAAGTTATATATGTATACATTGTAAACCATTTATCCTGCAAATCACTAGTTTTATGAACAACTCATGCACCAGGAAAGCAAAGAAAGTCCATGGTATTGAAGTAGAGCATCAACATGTAAAATATTTCACTGAAACCTTTACATTCCATTCTCTTGGTGTTTATCAATCGTTTTTTTGCATCGATTGAATTCAAAGGAACCACTTGGAAGGAATATCTTTTTGATGGAAACAATGGAACAACATGAAATGGACTCTTTTTTCAATTCCATGATGAAGACCAAGAAAGATACATTTTCCAGTGTGTTTACTTTCAACAATCAACTATCATTTCTCATCTTAAGCCAATCAAATGTAATCGTAACCAAAAAACAACACAATCAATCACCTTATTCATGCTGTTATTACACACACACACTTAGCCTTAACACTTTATTAAGATTGAGAACTGATTTATACTTGTACTCAATTAATTTACACTTCACATGGAGAAACAAAAAGATATGCATTGTTGTTATATTTATATTGATTATACACTGTAAAACACTTGCCTGCTCCTGATCCCATTGAAATCACCTTCATCTTATTACTTGAAATGCTGTTTTAATTAACAAACTGTCAATGTTGATATCCACCAATTAATTGTTAACGTTTAAGGAAAACCTTGTGCCTTCTTCTTCAGATCTTTTCTCTTCCTTACCATCAATTACACCACAAACAGGGTTAATTTAATTTGAAACCAATCCACCTACTCATCACTCTTTTTCTTGCTCATTGTGATTAACCGTCGAAACTGGAAAGAGAGCATCAAAAAGTCTTAGCATTGCTGGAAACACTTACACATATATTAACATTTATAAGGTGATTGTAACTGTGTTTTAACGCATTTTCATTTTTTGGCTTAGGCTGTCTTCATTTCAACTCTATTGATCCTGTTTCACTGCTTATTGTTGATTTACAAAACCAATTGTCTCACAATTGATGTTATTCAATCCATTGGTCATCAACCTCCAAGAGTTATGTCCATTGATCGCCATAATTGTCACCATCCACGGATTTCAATGTTTTGTTTTTTCTCTTCCCATTGGATCTCCTTCTTTTCTTCATTCGCCAAATTTTGTGGATCATCTTTAGTTTCAATCATCTGTTATTAATAATTCTTTTGACAATCAAATCTCAATCATTTTCTTTTTATGTTACAAATTTACGATTGAGTTGTGTACAAAGAGCAAATTTTATGCAATGTTTATGTAAAAGTTAAAAATTTGTTGACTGTATTAACATTAACCTTTTTTTGAATATTTTTTTTCGTTTCTGTTGTTACCCTGTAATGTTGATTTTTAATTCAATGATTGACCTGCTAAATGGACTCTGTATACATTTTGCTCGTTATTATTCCAATTTCGAAGGAAACATTCAAAGACAATTAGTGATTTGTAAGATGGGTTAAACAAAAGGAGACTTTAAGCTGTATTAAACACTAGGAATGAATTAAACAAAAACCCAAATGAGTGGTCCAAATGAAATAAATTATGCACTGTTGAAAAAACTGATTAGCCAGTTTGTTGTTATTGTAAGCACCTTATTCACTGTAAAACAATTTTAAGAAAAATTAAACAAGTGCTTTAATTCAATTGTTAAAACAATTTGTCTCTTTTATTGATAAAACTATTCCCATGAAAAAGGACTCATTGCACTGAAAATTTTTCAATGTTATATCCATACTCGTTAATACATGACTTTATATGGGTGAGTAACTAGGGACTTGAAGTTTAGTTATCGCTGAATACAAAATAAATCATTAATAAACGATTCCGTAATAAAAATTATAAATCCAAAACGGTTGTTATAAAAAGACACAGTTACCACATTTCTGCATTAAATGGGCATAAACAGGCAAATTTAATTTCTTTGCCTTTGGACTCTTTTTGTTTAATGGAAAATGAGAAGTGAATCCATTTGTGCGATTTAAAGATTTCTCTTATGAACAGTATTTGAGAGAAACGAGTCCAAAGTTGAAACTTTGATGGCCTTCTGTACAATCATGGAAGCGGATTTTACCACCAAACTAATTCTAACGAATCACATTTTGTGTTTGCCGCTGAAGTGAGTTTGCATTGTATTCGCGAGATGTCAGTTATATTGAATCTGCTGCCATCTGTTGTTCAAGTTTTGCCAAGTTTCACCAGCCGATCTAAAGGTGAAATCAGGTTCAGAAGAAAAATCTGGTTAATTAAATTAATTGCAGTGTTTAATTGATTTTTTTCGTTCGGTTCATTGTGTCACCCGAGTAAAATGTTTGTCCGATTTGCTTTTGCCTCCGGTAAGTTTTTATTATCAAGTGATTATTGTACTTTAACAGTTACTTTACAATGTTCACCTATTTTGCTAATGTTACTCAATGTCAACAAATATTTTGATTTGGAGAAATTTCATTTTCATTTATTTTTTATTTTGTATAGGCTCAGCGCTAGCTAAGGCATCTAAAACTGGATTGAGTCAACAGACATTCAACAGCATTAGAGGCTTGACTACTAAAACTATTGGTGTTTTTGGTAATGAGCTCAAGGAGGTCGATGTTGAAAGTGAAGTCACTCCATTTAAATCTCATCTCACTCCTAGTACTCAGGAAAAGATTTACCCCACAGTTTTGGACAATTACGAGGATATTCCAGTTATTGTTGACGGCAGAGAAGTTAGAGTAACTCGCGATGATTGCTGTCCTGCATACCCTCTAATACCTAACTTAGCACCTCCTAATGCAAAGCCTGGTGAGACTGTAAAAGAAATTCCAAAAGGTGTCAACATGGCTGAAATTCTGGGAGTCAATTTCGCTGAAAATATGCCAACTATTGATGATGACAAAAATCCGCAGCGTGATTTGGTAAATTTCCCTGCAGATTATCAAAAATTACAAGTTGAGGCTCCAGTTTACAGAATGTTTTTCTTCCCATCTTGGTGGTTTGATCCATTCTATAACAAAACTGGAGTAACTGGACCTTACATTGCCGTCACTGGTATCACTATGGCTGCTCTTTCTAAGGAATGGCTTGTGCTTGACCACAGTGTTCCTGGTGGTATCGCTTTTTGGATCATTCTCTTCCAAGCTTTGCAAAAATTCGGTCCTAAGCTTAAAGATCACTCTATTGCTGCATTCTTGGTACGTTTTTCTATCTTCCTCACCCCTTTTAATATGTTTAATATTCCAGCTCATTATTTTTTACTTTCTTCATTTCAGAAAACCATGCGTGGATGGGCTGATTGGAAAGATGGATCAGTCAAATTACTCAACAATATAATCGAGTTTAACAACAAGGAAATCCAAGTCGGTAAAGATCCCAGCCCACTTTTCAATGTTTATCGTGAAAATGTTCATCTCCAGAGGGAAGCTGAATATCGAAAACAATTAATGGCTGTATACAAGGAAGCAAAACGAAAGTTGGACTTGCAAGCTGCTTTAGATGAGGGCAAGAAACAATTCGCTAGACGATACATGGTCAATTGGATCATAGAAAATGTCAACAAGAGTATAACACCTGAGAAAGAGAAGAATATCTTAGACCAATGTATTGTTGATTTGAAAAATTTATCCGTTAAGCGAGCAAACTTCATCTAGATTGGCTTTTCTAGCATGAATGATGAAGAGGAGGCTACTGTCGTTTTAATTTGTAAAATATCAAATAATAGGTTCTTTGGAGAGAATCCACATTAAAATCATTAAGATGTTATTTTTTGTGTTTTTTTAGCTATATCTTTCCATAAATAATTTCATGGTTGGACTTTGATTTATACAAAACAAGAAAAAAATATTTTGGGCCAGTTTAGTTATTAATAAATGCGCTCTTAAAAAAAGTATCATAAGGACGTTTGATTTTCACATTTTTGAGTGCTCTTCGCTAACAGACAGTACATTAGATTCAGGCAGAACATAAAATTGCATTAAATTTAATGCTTCGTTAATTTAAACTAATTAAACAGAAAAATATTAAGATCCCTTGATGAGCTAAACTTTCTCTAAACATATTCTCTCGGTTTTTTCGATGCGTTAAAAACGCGTATAAATAAATAATTTGGCGTTTTATTCCATCGGCTGGTAAAAACTCTAGTTTCCCAGCATAGTAAGTGACTGACTGACAAGACATTCAAAAATTTTCAAAACTTTGCTTTCAAAAATTTTTGCACATAAATTCTCTAATGATTATGGAATAATTATCAACAAATCAAAAAGTCTGATAAATTAGCTACGCAAATAATTGAATATCCTGATTGCTGTTGAAGACCAATGACATTTTTAATATCAATAAATCGGCAGTAATTAGTTTGTAAGTTTTTCGATACAATAGATGTTTTTACAAAATAACATTTCTACAGATGACAGATTATAAAACTACATCGGCTTGAAACTTTGAACATTCGCAAATCTTCAAAAAGATCAAATCTAAAAATTGAAATCACGCTTTTTTGCCATACTTTGGCTCTTCAAATGTTATTTGTTTATCTCGAAACAAGTTGCATTGTCCAGTTCTCACTAATCCATGACACTCAATTGAAGGTTACATGAAGACTGCATCATGTATATTCAATCCAAATGATCTTTTTAACGAAATCTTTGAATTTGCATCAACCGTAATACACAATTAACAATGCTTATCAACATTGGTCAGCTCTTTTGGAAAGAGCAATTATCTTGACACCTTTTGTTGATTTACCCAAAGAATCGAGCTAAACGATAGTATCGATTAATTTAATTAATCGATACTAATTTCATCTGTTTCCGTTAAAATTCATACGTTTCCTTTCTTGTCTTGAGTATAAATTCACGACACTTCATCAAAGCAATCTTCATTATTTTATAAATTGTTATTTCGTTTATCCACTCGTTTGATCCAGTTTACTCATTTGTGCATTGAAAATGCAACACACTAGCTTCAACAATAGCTGAGCTATTATGTTAGCAGCTCTACTTGGAAAAGCTGCGATGTTACTCCACGTGTTTACCTTGGTATAGATGTTTGAACATATTCATGAATCCTTCAGGTAATGTCTCCTCTCCCTTATCATACTTTGTTCATTCCACCCTCTTGGAGTTTCATGTTAATTATTAGCTTGAAACTAATGCTAAGGGTAGGAATATTAATTTTCGATTGGCCTTCGGTCTTCGTTGTCTCAATCATCGAAAGCCATCCTCTAACTCTCGAACATGTTTTAATGGAATTATTTTCTATTATAGATATCAATGACCTTAGATGGCTGACTTGGACTTCTGTTGGCATATTAAGGAAGCTAAAATATAGTGATGGTCGGTGTCAAAGCTATGATTTTGAGATTCCTAGTAAAACCTCTCCATTGGGTGGACTAAAACATGGTATCGAAGTCAATAATTGTATTGTTGAGTGCCTCAACTCTTACCAGCTATTACAACCGTAATGATTATGACTCGCGACATGCTTGTTTATTTAAAATCAATGTTGATTAAAAAATGAACAGCCCAAATTATAAAGCAAAATGCTGTAGATTAACCATCCAAAGTCACAGAAAAAGTGAAACTATGAATTAAATTTAAATTATTTACACTGACTACTTGCAAGTCATCATTACTTGTGCGACCTTTTATTGGTTAACCTCTTTCAAGCAACTCTTTACATTAACCTTTCTCTAACCAAATGGGAGTCAATTTTGGCAACCCAACAAATTAAATTAACTTTTACTTGTTTTTTTTGTCCCATTCAATTGTGTCTCAACTGGCCATTATCTTTGTACCATTGTTATCATTATAATCAAGACTGAATAGCATATTAAGTGAATTGAATGTAACAATTCAATACTCATTTTGCAGTAATTTTTGCTTCCATTACAGTTTTGTTGAACAAATTGATTACCCAAACTAAAAGGTAACCAAGAAATGCTGAAAATAATGACAACGAGTATCATCATCATTATTGTCATTAAGCAAAGAGTAAAGTTGAAAGGAAAAAGGTTAACGTTATTTGTGAGCCTCGGGGTTAAATTTTCATGTCCATTGGCAACTAAAAATTTGCACAGTAAAACAGGTAAACAACTAATCAGTTGTTTTTATCAATGCCGAGAAAAAGAAACCTTTTTTATTTTCATCATTTTTTCCAAATGTTACAATAAAAATGAATTGAAATTAAACTCACTTGCTTTTGTCTGATTTATACATAATACTAAAGATATATACTTGGATAAGCTAAAATGTTAGTCAAATCTTGGCTCACCTTTCACCTTTCACCATCTTTGAAGAGAAAGTACAAGTCAAAAAAAGACTTTCTCCTCAAATAAGCTTTGAAGAATAAAATGAAGCAAAAACCTTTCACCTTCTGTTTCCATTTGTTCATTTCTTTGCCTTAAATGTCGATGGACCTTTTCTACCTTTTGTGTGTATACAAGAACACATGAACATTGTACCTTTCACCTTCAATGTAAAAGTAAAAGGAGAAGCTTAGAGCCAAACTTGACCTGACTTGACCCTCGGATAAAACCTAGAACATTAATGTTAGACACTTTCCAGGAAATAAAATGCAAACATCAAACAATGACAACACTAAATAATTACAATTGAAATCAACAATTGTACACTTCCTAGTAATCTAAAACTAGCCAAATACAAGGCAATTTCCCGTCCAGCAAATTAAGCCAACATTAAAACCATTTTATCGATCATTGGTCAAGTATTTCCCTTTAAAACAGAACCGTAATGTTTCAGTCGCTAGCAAAAACAAATTATCCAAATATCCTTTCAAGAATAACCCTAACAAGAACAAAAGCATCACAAGGATGTTGAGAAATTTAGAAGCAAAACACGCTAAATATTGACTTTATATTGGCATTTAGCTCTTGACCATTGATTTACCATTCAATTTAACAGTTTAATCATTCAATCCAATACAAAAGATACTGACAAATTGTGAGCATAAAGTGATGTCCATTTAGCTCAGCAAAAATAGGAAATATGTTCAAAAATTGACAAAACTACGCTAAGCTTAGGGATTTATTTGAGATTTACCTGTTGATCAAAAAGCTTTGAGTTTATCAGCTAATAAAAGTCTGTCCATTATAAAACTGTCAGATCTAAGGTTAGTTTTGACAATTTTACAGACTGTTTTTGTTCAATCTATCTTGTCTAGTGATTCTGATGACAAATAACTAAAATGATTCTCGCTGATAAAACAAACATGATTCATGAATGAAAAGCAATGAAAATGAACCGATTTCAACATTGTTTCTTTGAAATTGTATCTGATCAATTTATAAGAGCAAACAGATTCAAATTTATACAGAGAAAAGTAAATAAATTGCGAAAAATGACTGTACAGACTTAGTCATTCATACATTTAGTTTTGCCAAATCAAACATTTTTTGGGTGTCTTTGGTTATTAATAATTAGCAAAGCGCTTAATATTTCCATTGATTGTTTTGTTTGAAATGGTTAAGAGTAATTTATATCATTCCATTTCGCAAGTTGATTACAACTCTGGTACTTTAAATGATTACTTATTTCGTGTTATTGTTTTCATAGTCTTTTTAACAGATTAATGATCGTCACTTGACGTCAACTAAACAGAAGAGTGAAAAGAAAATCGAAATCGAAATAAAAACAATTTACTGCTTTATTAAGCAAAGTTCATTTCTAAATGTTTTTATTTATCGTTTACATGCCGTAGAGATTTGTTAAAAAGTCAATAACCATTGACGATGAATGCAACAGGTTAGACATTATTGATTGAACCATTTTTCATAAATTTTTCCTCCCTGAGCATTTAATGACATATGATGGTTGTTTTTTACGCCGATTGCATCGATTGACAGCATTTTGACCAGCGAGTTTGTAGAAAAATCTCTCGACAAAATCTTCAACTTGAGCAGAACATGATCCAGAAGTTGATCCAACAGCACATTCTTGAAACTTTAGGAAATCACTGAAAAACAAAGAAAACACAGAATTAACAAAATGATTCAACTGATGGGATAATTGCGATTACTTACCAACAGATAGCATCTTGAGTGAAAACTGTCAAGTTGAGCCGATTTGTACCAACCAAGTGAGTGACGAAAGTCGCATATTCATCTGAACAATGATTTTCTTGGTGAGACCATCGCCAGAAACAGGGTTCATCTAAAAAAAGGATAAAAAATCATTTAAATCTGGATGAGTTTAAATATGATTGAAATTAAGATAATTTTGCAATACGAGACAAACAATGATTTTAATGGTTATTGTTTGTATCGAAGGCAAAAATAGATCATAAAGATTGATTTATTTTTGCCTTTGCATAAACCACAACAATCAACTACATAACAGTGGCAAATGATGAATACAATGGTTATATCTTTAACTAATCCATCATTTTCAAGTTAATATACATCAGCTGCAAACAAAGGTGTCGTTTTGGTGTAAAAACAAAAAAAAATGAATCGTACGTAAGTATAATTACTCATTCTAGAAATAAAAAGAGTAAATTGTAAGAATTTCAGTATAAATAATAAGCAACGGAAACCGATTCTTCAGATTAGTTTTATCCAAACAAATTGTTGATTCAACTGTTACTTATAACTATATCTTTATATCGTTTACAAGATGATCTTTTTGGGTTTCACGATTGCTGTAAATTTTCTAGTGTTGGCTGTTTCAGCTAATAAAACTGTTCCAGTAACAGACTCAACACCAGGCCAATCGACAAGTGATTTTAGGCCTCGAACAGCTGCCAAAGTATGGAATCCTTGTGGTACTAATTGTCCTTTAACCTGTGCCAATCCTAAACCTCGAGCCTGTATTAAATCATGTAAAGCTGACTTCTTCTGTCCTTCAGGATATTTGGAAAATTCAATTGGTCAATGTGTTTTTGAAGAGGATTGTGACAACTTGCAACCGATTCCAATTGATAATCCTGTACCTTTACCTCGACCATTCCCAAGATTCCCAGGTTTCCGTCCATTACCCCGACCTTGTCCAAAACCTTTCCCAATTTCAAATCCTGAGTCTACTGTTGAAAATTCAACTGATGTTCCAAATGATTTTAGTCAATTCCCTGAATCAAATGATTTCCAATCCTTCGAATCAGTTGATTTTCCTGTAATTAAATTATCAATGGGCCCAGCTCGACCAAAACCAGTCTTCCAAATATCTCCAGTCAACTTTGATCCAATCGCTGTAGCAAATGGAGCTCCAATCCCACCACCAGCTGTAGTTCGTACTTCTGGATCTAATTTTCCTTATATCTCAATGCCAGCCATGGTACCAAAATCTAAGCCTTTGATTGATTTGGATCCAACTGTTCCTCGACCTGTACTTCGTGTCAGCAAAGAACAATCATCTGAAAATGAAAATTGATGAAATTGTAAATCATTAATTTTGTACTGAATCTTATTGTCAAAATAAATAGTTATTCGCAAATGTTCAGAATAGTTTTTCACTGCACAATCACATTGACCTGTAAAATTTAAAACATCGGTCAAACAAAAATTAAGCTTTTCTCTTGTTAGACATATGAATATTTATTAAATCAATCAATAACTCAAATAAATCATTGACTCAACAAATCATGGAAACGGTTTTTACTCAGATGACGAAATTAGAGTGATCGCAGCAGCTAGATGATTTTACGGAAAACCAAATGTAATTTAATCATTAGTATCTCAATATGTATTTAAATTTATCATAAATGATCTATCTGATAGCTTTGGTCAGAAAAATCTATAATTATACCAAACCTTTTCCATGAATGAAAGTAGTTTTAATTACTGAAAAATGACAGAAAATTACTGATCAAACAAATTGTTAAATGTTAAAACGATTAAAGTTAAATTTAATTTTATGGATATCAAAAGTTTAAAGTCACTTTAAATTACTATTGTTACTATCTATTGCTATTTGCTTTTGTCGAATTTTGTTGCAAAATTTGACTTGATAAACATTGAATATATTTCAAGTGTAAATAACTTTGAATAAACTTCTAATTGATGTCAAAAGCGGCAAATAAATTCAAAATGAATCATTTACGGTTTTGCAATTCACAAAATTAAGCTAAAGAGTCAATCACAATAAACAGATCCAAAGACTTTGTACAGTTTTTGTAATTTTCTTACGGCGACATCATAATTGTCTTCTAAGGTGAAGGGTCAACAGGACTAATGGGTCAATCATTAGAGAGGCTAATTGTTTTAATTGTAAAATTTAATGGTTTCCTCATGTAGTTCACCTAGATGGCACCACAGGAAAATTACAAAAAATTAACTCGAGGAAAAATTTTAATTTTATTTATTTCAGTGTTTTGTATATCATTTGTGTATTAAACTATTTTTGAATACTCCGTACACCTGATGTTTTTATCAAATAGTTTGATTTTTCATTTGTCATTGTCAAAAACTATCAAGGTAAGTCTGTGTCTTTCAATATACTATTTTATTCTTTTAAAAAAATTTGGTGTGAATGCAAATCAAAATCAAACAAATTTTGACTCGTGTTTCTATAGCAAGGTGAAAAGAAATAAAACTCGAGGAAAAACTGACTAACCTGATCAAAACATTGTAACAATTAATCACAAAATAAACTGTAGATAGAAGTTTTTGCAAGGAATTAATATTCTGAACATGAGGAAAATGGGTGGAAATAGAGACAGTAAACACATTAATTAGAGTAAACATATTTGATTCGGTAGTATTTAAGGAGAGATGGAAAGCAAAAGAAATTCATTCGATAAAACGATCAACTTACCTACTATTAAATTAAATCTTATTAACTATTTCAACAAAACTCAATATGAAGTCCATGATAATTATTTTGGCTATGCTCTTCTCCTTTGCAGCTTGTACTCTTCCCGATTTATCTGCTTCAATCATTATTGGTACTACTGGTGCTTCGAAAGTATTTACTGAACAGTGCGAGAAACCAAAAGTATTTCTTGAATGTGGATCAGCATGTCCTCCAACTTGTGCTAAACCTAAACCCACAGTTTGTACGCTTCAATGTGTTAAAGGCTGTTTCTGTCCAAAAGGCACATTTTTGAATGATTCTGGAAAATGTGTTGAGAAGTGTTCGAGCGATGGGAACCCTTGGTGCCCGAATTCAAAGGTATACACTGAATGTGGATCAAACTGTCCTCCAACTTGTGCTAATCCTAAACCCGGACCCTGTGGATCTGCTTGTGTTAAAGGCTGTTTCTGTCCAATAGGCACATTCGAGAATGCTGCTGGAGAATGTGTTAAGCAGTGTTCGAGCAATGGTTCTAACTCCCCAGGCAATGGGTCTAACTCCTCAGGCAGTGGGTCCAGCGCTTCGAGTGGGTCCAGCGCCTCAAGCGGTGGGGCTAGCTCTTCTAGCAGTGCGTCCAGCGCTGCGAGTAGTGCATCTAGTTCTTCAGGCAGTGGACCTGTTTCTAATGATGGTTTTATCCCGAAAGTAAATAATGATTGTGGGTCAGCATGTCCTCCAACTTGTGCTAATCCAAACCCCGTTTGTACTAAACAATGTGTTAAGGGAGCTTTCTGTCCAGAAGGCACATTCGAGAATGCTTCTGGAGATTGTGTTAAGACATGTTAATCATAACGGTAATAGAACCACAATAAATGTTGAATATCTGATATTGCTTGTAACATTGATGATAATTCAATAAAGATCATTTGAATACACTGATGTTCCACTGTTTAGTTCTTTTCACTACTTTCCCAGGTAAGATTTCACTGAATAACAGCGAATCTTGTAATGCACTGTTTAAATGTAGATGATGGCTGTGATCTGGTACTTTGATGGGTTTTAACTTAGCAAGAATGAATATGAGTTGTGACTTACCAGTGCTTTCATAGATGCCTTCGGTACAATTGGCATTAGAGAATCGGATAACTCTTTCCTTCAAACCCTTTCTGCGCGGTAAACAATCTACTCCATGTTTTGTCTCATTCCAACAATCATTGATCTGTGAATACAATAGAAATTATAAATAAAGGTTGTTATATGATAACTAAATTTGTTACATGAAAACGGAGCAAACAAATTAATAAAACGAATGATACTCATAAATTCATACCAGGAATTTCGTTACACCACAACGAGCATGTAAATCACCCTTTGAATTGATCGGCAAGTCACTATCAAATAGATTTTTCATAATTGAATCACCAACAGCACAAACATAAGGACAGGTTGATTTCAGAGAGCCACTTCCATCTTGATCTGGTAAGTAATCTAATCAACATGGTAATAATAACAAATAAAGAGTTGAAGTTGGAGCAAATTAATATTCAAAATCACAATAAATAAAGATAAATCTGATAGTTCTGTTTAAACAGATGACTGTTATAGCAAACCTTGAGTATCTCCATATAATAACCAGGTTATAGCTATCCAAAGGCTTATTAACATGTTTAAAATTAACGCGCAAAACAAGAGTCAGAAAGAAGTGAGAACAAAACAGACAAAAGATGGCTTACTGCAAACAGCAGATTATGTAAAATGTTAAGATTTAGACTCTGCTTTATTGTTGATTAATTAACTTTATAATTGTGCTATCATTTTAATGTCATCTTAACTAGTGTAAAGAAATATCTATTGGAAACATTACTTGGAAATTACAATCATGTTAGTGATCGATGAGACCAATAATGCTAACCCAAGCAAATAAATATCAAACCTCTTCTGCTAAGGATTTACCCAACAACCCAAGTGGTGAGTTAAGCAACAAATCTTTATTTTAAAATTAACGGTTTTTTTTGCTTTTTTTATTCAGGAACATTTTCCGTAAATTATTTCCAATTAGTAATGAATTGCTACAAACTAATGTAATTGGATTTATATACAAGACAAATTGTTCAGTCTTGATATTTACCTCAAAAAGTGAAAATCAACTTATCCATCGATGTAAACAGTTGCTGTGTCATTAACTTGACTGATCTATCTGATTGTTCAAGTTTGTTTTCTGATTTCATTTGGCTTAAAATGAATGGTTGGATGGAAAGAGACTTCAATTATATTCCATGTTTCGAAAGGAGACTAAAAAATTACCAAATGGAAGATACTTATAATGGTGATTATCACTTGAAAGTTTTATTTCAAAATCAGCTTTCCATATTGGATGATGATGTTATTATTTTAACCAATGATACTCTTTTTCTGTGAATTTCAGTGAAATCTCTTTCAAGAACAAATTTGTGGAAATTACAATCTAATGCTTATGTCATGAAATCGTTAAATATTTCATGATAATAATAGTAACATTGGCAACTCTTTCATCGGAAATTTCCTTGCTCCAGGATTTCAAGTCTGTGATATTTATATATTTAACAGACGATTGATGATATGATGTCGATCTTGAAAATGAATATAATCACAGTTATACAATCACTTGTATCTGTTGAAGATTAATCTTACAATGTTATTCTCATTCTTGATGACTAAACAACAACACTTGTTCAATATCCATTGAACTTAAGGCAAGTTATAATCCAACCATCAAAAGGAAATGTTTACTAATTTTTCTAATTGTAACAAATGAGTTTTAAATTAACTGCTTTTGATTTGTATTAATGCGAGTAGGTTATTTTATGTTTCGACTTACCGTTGAATACTATCTTGACAATAATCGAATGATTCAAAATTGAAATCATTTGATTGAGTACATGTTTTAGCACAATCAGCTATTTGTACATTAGATATGGTTGACACGGCATCCAGAACTAGACTTTTGCCAGGATAATCATGAAATAGATTCATAAATAATTCTGAATTGGAAATTAAAGCAAAATTAATTCAAGAAGTACAAATCAATGTGACAGTATATTTACTTTGATAGATGTTACAGCCGTCTGCATGACTTGTTTTGTCTTTAAGTGAGTCTTTCAATGAACTTGATGTTTCTCCACTCAGAATACATTCCTTATTCTGATTGACGCAGTATGAAAGTGTATTACAATCATCATCATTCAAACAAGCCTTGAAACAGTCTTGAAGAGTACTTTTCTCGATCTTGAATTGTGCTTCATTGAAATGTCGGTCAGTTTCGATCATCGGAAAATCTTCAGCCTTTAAAGGTCTGGAACCACTTTCATATATTTCCTGGGAAATATCACCAATCTCTTCAGGTCCATTCACAATGAACATATCTACAGAGCCGGTTATCGAGGCTTTATCTCTTATCTGTTGTAACACGCTTGACATTGTCGATAAATAATTTTTGGTAATCAAAGGTTCAACATCGCACGTTAAAGATCTTGAATAAGATCACATTTTTCACAGTATTCTGTTTCATAAAGAAAAACCGATTTTACAAAAATTGAACAATCAAAATCATCACAATAACTGAAATCAAAACAGTTGGGATTCGCAGTGCACAGTTGTTCATAGTCCTCGACTTTAAATCTTTTTATTAAAACATTTGAAGGATTGATAATTTTAAATTGACCCGAACGACGATAAGCCCCAAGGAAATTTACACGATCATAAAGCTTAACAGTAACATATGAATTAGAGTCGACTTCTTGAGTATGAATTTCACCAATGCTAGTAATTTGAATGAATGAAGTCAATAAACTTTCAGTAGATCTCTTGATTGTTTCACTATTATTATCCAGCCATCAAAGGATCTGAGATCAAGAGTTGAAACCAAGTATAGCTTCCAGGTTCTTCATAACAACCAGAAACATCGAATCGATCTTCATAAGCAATGTCAAAGTCTTCGTAATTAATTATGGTTACTTCAATCTGAGTTGGTGAACCAAAGTAATCAAAATAATAATCGTTTCGATTTTTGGTAAATATGACTTTAGTTGGCACCACACGGCATGAACAAAATCACTCGCATTCTTTTCATAATATTAGTCGACAATGGCAGCAATATTATCCGAGAAGAAGTTTGCTGATATGTATTCTTCAACTCGAAAAGGTCCTAAAGGTATATCACCAATAAAAGTAACTCTATGATCTCGCCTTGGCTTCATTATCAAATAATGCAATAGATTGAAGTCGCGATCTTGATGAAAAGGCCAACGGGTGATTAGTATATCATCAGATGTATAATCTGATATATTATAATGGCATCGACCGGTGCGTTCATCAACTTGGAAACCACCTAAAGAGAGGTGGCATTTCAATGGAACTAACAAAATCAGTTTCTTCTTGGATTTCGGATGAATGACATCGCCTCGTTTCATTACTCGAGCAGTTGATTTGATAAGCTTACCATTAGAATAGGTTATAATCGCTTGCATGTCCATAGCAAACTCTTCAACTTGACTAAAATCTGGTAATGGAGCGTAAGGACTGGTACCTTTACGCACACACCCATAACTCAATGGATATGGAATGGGATCATCTGATGATATCACCAATGGTTCGAACATGTAAGAGTTGTAAACATATTTTGTCTCGGAGTCGACTTGCTTTTTAACTGTTGCAGTTTCATTTACTGAAATGACCTCCTGAGCTTCGATCCATTCAGGATAGTACAATAAGAACCGATAAGGCAATGAGGTCTTAACATCAAAGTAAAAGTCAATGTAAGGCCCATTAGAATTAGTACAATAAAACCAGTGACTAATAGTACGACCTTCAATCAGTTCGGCTCCTAAGAACGAAGCTTTATCACTGATTTTGTGGGCATAAATCATCAACACTGTTGGTCCCAAATGAACCAAATCTTTAAACATCTCTGAACTAGCGACAATATCTTTTGGCTTAAATCAATCTTCGATCAATTCAATTTTCTCATTCTGAGTCAAGTCCCGGCTAGAACATCTATTTTCTTCAACAGTAATCTTTTCCTCTGTTGAATGATAATAATAACGTCGATTCAATTTGTCTTGAATCGTTGCTTCCAAGTCGATATATCCAACATTATTTTCCCCATCATAATAATCATTGACCAAATTTTTTCGAGTTGGATTAATAACTTCAACAGAAGCATGATAACCTGTTTGTTTATCAATCAAACTGAGAACATTTGGAACTTTCAATTCACCAACTCTACACCTTTCAAGGCATTTGAAATCATCACAAAGAATTGAGTTAATTAAGAAAAGAAAACAAAGTGAAAAGAAAAATTTGAGACTAATTTTCATCTTTGACTTGATTGTTGACATTTGATGTTGAAGTTGCGAAAAGTGGATTCAATATTCAATTTCCAATGAAATATACTGATTGAGACACTTTTTGACTTCACCTTATCTCTCAATGCCAGTCAGGGTACCAAAATCTAAGCCTTTGATTGATTTGGATCCAACTGTTCCTCGACCTGTACTTCGAGTCAGCAAAGAACAATCATCTATAAATGAAAATTGGTGTTCTCGCGAATCATTAATTTTGTACTGAATCTTATTGTTAAAATAAATAGCTATTCAAAATTTTCAGAATAGTATTTCACTTAATAATCACATTGACATGTAAACTTCGAAACACAGAGTCGGAAAAACAAAAATTAAGCTTTTCTCTTGCAGGATACAGAGTAATTATCGGATCAATGAATAACTCAAATGAATAGTTAGCTGAACAAATCGCGCAAAAACCAAACAATATTTGCAGATCATGGAAGTGGCTTTTACTCAAATGATGAAATTTGAGTGATCACAACAGCTAGAGATTTTACGGAAAATCGGATGTAATGTGATCATTAATTTTTCATAATGTATTCAAATTAATCATAAATGATCTATTAGAGAAGCATTTAATATCTTTGGTCATTGTAACAAGAAAATGAAAGCAAATCAAAAACCAATACTAATGCAAAAGCTTTCCATGCATAAAAGTAGTTTTAATTGCTGTAAATTAACAGGAAATCACTGATCAAACAAATTGCTGGAACAAAATCAGTATGAATAAAATAATGAATATAATTTGAGTTGGAATACCTATGAACAAACTCAATTTCATGTCAAAAGCGGCAAATAAATACAAATTGAATCATCAACGGTTTTGCAATTCACAAAATTTAGCTAAAGATTCAATAACAATGAATAGATTCAAATGATGAAAATTGAAATTTGCATTTTCTTATGGAGCGCCATGATTGGAAAGGGTTAATAGGACTATTGGGGAAATCATTAAAGTGGGCTAATTATTTTAATTGTAAAAATTAATGCTTTCTCCTGTAGCTAACCTAGATGGCACCACAAGAAAATTACATAAAACTCGAGGAAAAACTGTGATTTATAATAATTTATTTCAGTGTTTTGTTTATGATTTGTGGTATAAATTGCTTTATAATAGTCCTAGTACCTGATGATATGATCAAATATTTTGACTTTCATTTGTGTCAAAAAATATCAAGGTGAGTCTGTGTCTCATTATTTTAGAATGATTTTTATACTCTTGTAAAGGGTTGTTTATGTCTACCCAGCAGTGAACTGCAAGTCTAGTTGCTCGGCTTCACTCTGCCTAGTATCGAGTAATTTACGTTGGAATAATCGGTATCCTTATTACTGTAACAAGGTGAAAAGAAATAAAACTCGAGGAGAAACTGACTAACCTGATCAAAACATTGTAACAATTAATCACAAAATAAACTGTAGATAGAAGTTTTTGCAAGGAATTAATATTCTGAACATGAGGAAAATGGGTGGAAATAGAGACAGTAAACACATTAATTAGAGTAAACATATTTGATTCGTTAGTATTTAAGGAGAGATGGAAAGCAAAAGAAATTCATTCGATAAAACGATCAACTTACCTACTATTAAATTAAATCTTAAAAACTATATTAACAAAACTCAATATGAAGTCCATGATAATTATTTTGGTTACACTCTTCTCCTTTGCTTCTTGTTCCTTTCCCGAGTTCTTTTCTTTCTTTGGCAAGCCTCACTCTTCCGACAGTGGATCTGCTTCTACTGGTTTTACCAACACTTCGAAAGTATTTACTGATTGTGGATCACTATGTCCTCCAACTTGTGCTAAGCCTAAGCCCGGAATCTGTGCAACGGTTTGCGTTGAAGGCTGTTTCTGTCCAAAAGGAACGATTGAGAATGCTGCTGGAAAATGTGTTAAGCAGTGCTCGAAGTCAAAGGTATTTAACTCTTGTGGATCACCATGTCCTCCAACCTGCGCTAATCCTAACCCCGGGTTCTGTGGAACGGCTTGTGTAAGAGGCTGTTTCTGTCCAAAAGGCACACTTGAGAATGCTTATGGAGAATGTGTTGAGCAGTGCTCGAGCAACGGGCCTGCATCTTATGATTATATCCCAAAAGTATATAGTACCTGTGGATCAGCATGTCCTCCAACTTGCGCTAACCCTAACCCTATCTGTTCGCAACAATGTGTAGAGGGCTGTTTCTGTCCCAAAGGCACAATTGAAGATGCTTCTGGAAAATGTGTTAAACAGTGCTCGAAGTCAAAGGTATATAATGAGTGTGGATCACTCTGTCCTCCAACTTGTGCTAACCCTAAACCCGGACCCTGTGCAGCTGTCTGTGTTAAAGGCTGTTTCTGTCCAAAAGGCACATTCGAGAATGCTGCTGGAGAATGTGTCGAGCAGTGTTTGACCAATGGATCTAGCTCTTCAGGCAGTGGGTCCAGCGCCTCGAGCGGTGCGTCTAGTTCTTCTAGCGGTGGGTCCGCAGCTTCGAGTAGTGGGTCTAGTGCATCAAGCGGTGGGTCTAGCTCTTCTGCGAGTGGGGCTGCCGCTTCGAGTGGTGGTTCCAGCGATTCGAGTGCTGTGGCCAGTGCTACGAGTGGTGCCAGCGATTCAAGCGGCGAGTCTGCTTTTAATGGTGATTCAATCTAGAAACGATAAACGTGGATCAGTATGTCCCCAACTTGTAAGAAACCATTTGTTGAGGGAACTTTCTGTCCAAAAGAAACATTTAAGTATGCTTCTGGATAATGTGTTATGAAATTTTAAGCATAACAGTAAGAATAGAACATAAATGTTGAATATCTTAAATATTACCTGTAACATCGATGATACTTTAATAAAGATCTTTTAAATACACTGACATTTCACTGTTTACTTCTTTTCATCACCTTCTCAGGCAAGATTCCACTAAATAACAGTGAATATTGCAACTGTGTAAATGTAAATGATGGCTGTGATTTGGTTATTTGATTGGTTTTAACTCAGTGAGAATAAATGTGAATTATGACTTACCAGTGCTTTCATAGATGCCGTCGGTACAATTGGCATCTGAGAATCGGATAACTCTTTCCTTCAAACCCTTTCTGCGCGGTAAACAATCTACTCCATGTTTTGTCTCATTCCAAAAATCATTGATCTGTTGATACAATAGAAATTATAAATAAAGGTTGTCATATGATAACTAAATTTTTTACATGAAAATGAAGCGATCAGTAAAGGTCTAAAACATCCAAGTTCAGAAAAGTCATTTTCCATCAAAATATTAATAAGTTCTGGGACCTTGCTTCTTCATCCAGTATATATTGACAAGCTTATTAATTATAGTTAATTAACGCCGATCGAGTCCAAAAATGACCTAAATTCACTCATATTGATGTTTTTGTATCCTTGAAATATTGAGTCAATTGAAAAAGTCAAACTTATACAAAATTGAAGCGAAAGTAACTCGACAGAACTTTTTGATCCCCGAATAAATCTGTTTATTATTTAAGTTATTACGGGCTAAGAATTGAAGTTGATTCCAAAGTCAACTTTAAATCCATTGGAATGATTTATTTCACTGTGTCCATTTGAGGTTGAATGATTAATCAGCCATCGTCTGTATAACAATCAATTCAAACCATTTTAACCCAACCTTGAATTTTAACCGCTGTTGACAGTCGAAAATAAATGCCTAAAAAAAGGTTACAATTGATTTTCACTTTTCGATGAAAATGACTTTTTCTGACAATTTGCCCTTTTGATCATTACTATTGCATTCATTATTGTTACCGATAATCATAATAACCTTTCTTGACACATTTTGATTTTCCAGTGAAAAATGACTTATTCCTCTCTGAATTTTGTTACCTTGCAGTTGAAGAAAGAGGAAAAAATTCATTTCTACCTTTTCTTCAGGTAAATTAACCCAACCATTTGATTACTCAACAAAAGAAAGCATTTCAAACTCTAATCAATAATGGGAAAGTTGGAAAAAGCCGATAACATGAAATTATCATTAACAACAGCAACAAAACAACAATTTACATTACAATTTTTTTCCTTGGCTTCCCTTTTCACCTTATAAACACCATTTTGAGCGCCCAAATTGAGCCAATCTTTACACTTATCATTTATTATTGTTTCCAATTTTACCATCACCTTTATCATCTTCCTTCAAAACCTTCAGGCTGTAATAATTATTTTGCGTTGTTTACACAGAAGCAAATCAAGAGATGAAAAAAATATCAACTTGAAATATAAATTTTGAAAAGTTTGCTCTTTTTACAACTCAAATTATTGTAAAAAATATCATATTTTCAACTTGCAATCTTGTTGACAATTCTAGACTCGTCTTTTCAGGTTAAAGGTTAGATTTAGAGTTGAAAATAAATGTCCACTTTGAGAGTTAGTTTTACAATGAAATGAACAATTATTTTGTTATTCTTCGGTAAAATTTAATATCAATAATGATATAGTCGAAATGAAAGAGAATGAAAAATCGTTCAAAATACGTAACAATGTTTCTAATGAATTGAACCTTTACTTGAAGGATAGCCTAAGAGTACTTCAATTGATGTATCAAAACTTGACTTTCATATGTTGTATTTGATTGTATCACTGATTCATCTTTTGATTAAACAATTGATTTAAAATTGAAAAATAAAGAAACTCAAATATCTTCATTTCATGAATTAATTAATTACTGATTTACCTTAATATTTGATAAAAATTTCATTTCCAAATATCTTATATTAATATAAAAACCAGATTAGCGAAGCTCAAGTTTTCACAAAGCGTGAATATTCCTGAGCGATTTGTGCTAAAATTACATAAAATTAATAAATTGTCAACATTAAATATGTTTAAATCTTGTAATCTTTTACCATCAAGACAATGAAACTTGATAACTTAATCTTGATTAGATGAAAGGTTAAGCCCTTGTCAGTACCAAGATTAAGGTGTAATTCAAGGTTGAACCAAATATCAAACTGAGAAGGTTAAGAATACAGATGAAGATGATGAAGATGAAACAGGGAAAGCTAATTGCCTTTAACAGCAAGTCAAATAAATCACAATCACCTCACAAGACACAGAAGACACTTGAGTGGCTCTCTCTCTCTTCCTCTTTCTTTTCTTTCTCTCAGTTTGACTGTTACTTTTTGTAGTTAAAAATGTTAATCAAGTAAAGGCAGTAATCAAGCCAATTGATTGTGAGTAACAACTGAAGAGACTTTGATTGCTTTAAACACATTAAGACACACACAAAGTGAAGGTAAACTTTCATCAATACGACTCTCAATGTTACGTAGTTATACCTTAGTTGACGATGCTTGTTGTTATTTATGTGAAGCCATCTATCAACTTTGATCGCCTTTAATTTTCAACCTCTCAAGACTTTAAAATTAGCTCAACATAGTAAAGCTAATTGAGATACTTGTATTACTGCCAAGTGTTTAGATCATTTTAAAGACAAATTCAGTCCATTCTCAATCAAACCTTTCAGTATAATTTACAGCAATAAGAGAAAGTGAAACTCGAAAATTGAATATTCAAAAGTTACAGGTGAAAGCTTAAAAAATGCAACAACAATCGTAATTGAACTGATTGACCGATTCCCTTCTTAGCTCAAAACCAAAGAGAAAAAATAATTTCAATTTTGCAAGTCGAATCTTTTGAACAAAAAAAGTCGAAAATCTCATTAGCCAAACTCAATTTACTGTGTAATCAGGTTTTGCATTTTCAATCAAAATGAACATTCGAACTGGTTTGGAAGAAGAATCCAAAACTGAATTCCAACTGTTAATATTTTTTGCATTCTGTTCAATATATTTGCTCTGTCACCAGTTGGACAAACTTTAGCTATCAATTTGGAGCTCAGGTGACCATTTGCATTGCGAAGCTAAAAAAGGAAATCGATTTCAACTTTTCGATTGAAAGGTTAAAATTGTAATGATAACTGTAATTAACTCGATAGATGACAGTGTTGCTATTAGCCAAGAGTTTTGATAGACTCGTGTCCATTATTTCATCCTTTATCATTGCAATTGTTTCTCTTTTCCTGACAATCGTTTTCCTTCTTTCCTTTGTTTTCCTTGACCACAACTATTTTCTTCCTCTTTTTTACTCTTTCAACTGTTTGGCAAAACTTTTTAATCACAATGACCAGAAGAGGTAAAGAAAAATGTTTAAGACCAGCAGCCAAGAAGGGTCAGCAACATTGGTGGTCATCGTCATCAATGGACATTTACTCTTTTCCTTTTCCATTCAACTCTAATTTGTTTTCACTTTATTTTAATCAAAATTATAACAATAATTGCAGCAAATTTTCAGACTCGCATTTGAAACCATTTCCTAACATCCATTATATTTTGTCCAATATTTTGAAGTGCAATTTCCATTGTGATAACCTGTGTTTACCTTTTGAAAAGTTGCGAGTAAAGCAACCAATTATTATTATCAATGTGAATCAATTTCAGTTTCAATTGTAAGGAAACAAAAAACAAGTTGAAAGTAAGCTAAAAAATGGAAAGCAAAAGATCCAAATAGTTGAGTAAATTGATTCAGGCAACTAAAGACAAAAATCGTAAAAAAGAGGCAAACATTTTCTTCCTTAATTAGTGTTGAAGAGAAAAAAATGTAAAGTTAATTAATTTCCATTGATTCAATTGAAACAATCAGCAAACCTTTAGATTATTTCTGATCATTTACCTTGAAAATCTCAGTGTGTTTCAACCTTGAATTTCCCTTTTGCAAATGAGGTAAACTCATCCAAAGGGTTGACTCTCAACTCGAGGTTTCTCGGCCTCACTTGATATTCATAACCATTAGGTTATAATTGAATTCTCGTTATCGATATAATTGTAGAATAGAGGAATCATGATATTCCGAAGAAATCGTAAAAAAAGAGATTCGTCTTAACAAGTTAATGTCATCCTTTGGCTACAAATTAACCTCTAAACAAACAGAAACTGTTCTTGAGACAACCTCATTAGACTGGGTTAATTGGCCTGAAAAGGTGAATTGAAACGCGAAACAAAAAGCAAACCTTTGATCACCTTTGAGTCGTCTGGGGTCATTAGAAGAGACAGTTGTGTGGTCACATTTGAAGACAACAATTAAACTTTACAACTTCATTAACGAAAAGCAAAGTCAACTAGAAAGTAGAGAAAATATGTATTTAATAATAGTTGACCACGCGAATGGACAAGAGTCGCTCATTGAGAGAAGACGTTTCATCTCAATTTAGCTTGTAAAGGCTTTTGAGCAAATATTTTCATATTTTGCTTCGTTTTCGCTTCGCTTTCATTGCCATTGTTTTCCTCAAATTGTTTGTTTACTTTACCTTTTCCGACTCATTATCAATGTTTGCTTGTTTGATTAACCTTTCGCCTCAACATGAAAATGAAGTTATCATTTAACAACCTTTTTTGGTCCATCAAGGTCAACCATTGTTATTAGTTATGATTATAAGTTATCAAGTTTTTTTGCTGTGTTTTAGGCAACAGTAAAAATGAAAGAGACGAAAACGAAAAACAAACAATTCTAATTATCTCAAGCCAACTGAACACACACATTGAACTATAATTCAACAATAAACATTATTCTTGCTCCAATTACAATTTATCGTCATAAATCAATTGGAAATTACATTTGTATCAATTTGCAAATTTATTGAGATTCATCTTTAAATTCATCTTTAAATTGCATTCCAAGATTTAACCATTCAGTTGAGCCTCAAGATAACAAGTCACATAACAGCTAATAGATTGTTTCAATTGAACAATAATCTTTAAATTGTTCATTTACTTTGATTACTTTGATTGCTGCCTTGGGCTAAATGATCATTTAATGACACAAGTCCAATTAAGTTGAGACACG